CTCCCTCTTCTCACAGAGTGCCAACTTGTCAGGCTGTCCTCTCACGTGTACACACACACACACACACACACACACACACACACTCTTTCAGCAGCACTATCAGTTATATCACGGCGAAAGAAGTGTTACATTGAACTCCTATAGGAAAAGCAACATTGAGGTCTTCTATCAGGTGCTACAAATGTTCCAATTGACTTTTTGCCCTTCAAACCCAAATGAATGCTCATCCCTAACATTCAGTTCTCAAAGACAATACGAATATTAAATTAATTCTGAAAGTTCTCATAAACAAGTTAATTTATCACATTAACTCTCCCCCAGCTGCCAGACAGACAAGATTCTAGTATGTTCCTACAAAAGCAGGACTTCTCTAGGAGTCAGTATCGTCTGCTTTTTACTTTGCATTTCCTGTGGAGGTGAATTACATACTGTTTTCTTTTTCCTCTTTTAAACTGAAAAAGAGGAAAAAGGAACTGTCAGGTGCAGGGAGGCTGAGCCCTGGCCCATATGGCTCCCCACCCCCCTTTGAGAAGGATGGCCCTGCTCTAGCCTTTCAGCTCAGCAGACAAAACTTCAGTTTGTCCTGCAGACCCAGCTATGTTTCACAGATGAGAGAAGGACCCAGGAACAGATTGAGGCACTGAATGTATTCCTCTCTAAGCACTAACCTTATACAAAGTATTTCGTATAATTTCAATGTTCATTTCATCCAGGTCCTGCTCAGATATGCAATCCTGGAAAAAGGCAGCTGAAAGAGAAGAAAAGGAGTGAGCAGGAGAAGCAAGACCCATTAGCTGCAGTATCCCTTCTCAGGCAGGCCTGCAGATATCATGCTTTGCGCAGGAGGAGATCCTTCACCAAGCAGTCCATGATTTTTTCCACAAAGACTCTGGCAAGGGTGTAAGTTTCCACCTCCAATGACCAAGCTAGAAGATGCTCTGCAATTTCTGGTCTGCCATGTTTCACACTTCCCTCCCCTCCAGCACAAGGCCCCATTTGATACCTGCACCCCACTGAAGGGCCAATCCCTTGTCTTACCAAGGGGGGTGTCCACCAGGATGGCATTGTATAGCTCAGCTGGCGTCTGGGCAATATTCACAGCCTCCATCTGCTCAAAGCTGCCCAAGGGATGGCATTTGGGTACCAGTTCTGCAATGGAGCGTTGATGGAGTGTCCCAGTAATCAGCAGAATGACATTATCAATCATGTAGCTGTAGCTGAAAGGAAACAGTGACAGCAGGGCTGTGACAGCAAGCACCTACCCTCCGGCCCTCTCCCTGTTTAAGTCCACACCAGCCTCAGCTGTGGGTGAAAAGAACAGTGGAGGTCCTCTCTCCATCCCCAAGTCCTCATAAACTCACATATACATCTCTGAACAAGGTTCAAGGGATTTCTGAACTGCAACATGGCACAAGTGTGGAGTAGACCATGGACTGGTGCTTTTGCTACTTGGGAAAGGAACTACTTTTAACTTGCTACCTTGCAAGAAACTGGCTTAAACTCATACTCAGAATCTTAGCTGATGGGGCTTGAAGAGCTTGGCAAACTACGAGCCAGTATGGCATCATGGTGAAGGTGTTGGATTAGAACTAGAAAGACCCAGATTCAACAAATCCATCCTCGGCCACAGATGTTCCCAGGTGGCACCGGGCCAGTCACTCTCAGCCTAGCCACAGCAACCACAGGAAAAATGGGAGGAGAGAGTGCTAATCATGGAGCTCCTGGAGGAAAAGCAGGAAATAAATCCAGCAAGCAAAAATCTTGTCTTCACAAGCAGTGGGTGGGGACAAACTAAATCACAGACATATTAACATTATCTTGCAAACACACAATATGGAAGAAATTTATGGAGGTAATTATTCATTTTATCAATAAGGGAATAATTTGATTAGCCAGGACTGGCACAAACATTCTAAATAACCTAACCTTAGAAAACTAATCAGAGAAAGGGTAAATAGCTTTTACCAAATGTGGCAGGAAAGAACAAATCAGGGGAAGCAAAAGGGAGCAAAATGTAGATGAAATAGATTAAATGCCAGTTATAATTCCCTGATCTAGTAAAGAAGGAACATAAGAGGTTGTTCACAAAATGTCAGAAGTGATTTTGTGCCCTAGCCAAATCTTATGTGAGGCCAATGTTTAGATCATAATAGGCCAATAATAGATACATGGCCAATAATTACAATGAGTTCAAAACTTGATTTCATTGATTTGCTGTTTGCATTTGATTACTAAGATTGTAATCTCAAAATCAACTATTCAAACTGAACAAGTTCTGCTTTAGAACCAACCCCACTGTAATTTTAAAGTGCAGATGCCGTGTTTTTTTTTTAAGAGAACCACCAGAATAAAAAGCTAGATCGGAATCATGAGGAGCAACATAAAACCCCCAATCAATCTCTCAAATCCAGAAGACACAAACTGTAGGCAGCAGGCCTCACCAACAAACAAAAATCAGCATAGAGGCTCAGGGGCAGAGACGTCAAAGATTTACAACTCTAGGCTATGCTATGGATGGGTCAGAACCAAGGATCAATTTGCCTGGTGACCTGCACAGAAAGTCAGGGCTGGAACAGGTTGTTTTTTGTCACATGCTCTGTGGAAATAAAGATATGACTTAGCATTCTTATAATCCACCAAGGATATAACCAACTTTAAAAAGAGTCAGACTAGCAACTGGTCAGCAAGTCCCGCTGATTTCTAAATAGTCATAGCAGTGCTTTTAAAGTCCTTAAGGATAACTACTGTATGAGCTGTTCTAGAATATTTCCAGAATACCGACGTTAGAGTGACTGTCATTCTATAGATCCCTTTTCTATCTTTCTGAAAGCAAGGACACTTTTTCCCCAGTCATGTGCTGCTGCTCCTCTTATCAGGGTTTCCCAGATAATGCTCAAAACAGCTGGCTTGATCCTTCCTACCCTGGAATCAATCTACCTCTTCCTGAAGTTCTGAACTAATTCAAGAACTAAGGCACATTCCTTGACTGTATTTCACATAGTTGCCTGATGGGATGCAGATCACCTACTGAGTCAAAATGAGAATTGAGTGGTTCTGCCATCCTCTGCTTATCTCATAGCCTTTGCCATGTTCTCCATGAACAGCTGCACATTGTTTGATTTTGAACATATATCAAGAAGCTGATTGGTTGTTCTTAGACCCCTTCCGTTAGTTTATTCTTATAGCTTTTGTAACACCTTCTCTTTAAACCTGGGCTATCTTTTTTCTTTCTAGATGACCTGTCTTTGTTTCTTCTTCCTATACATGTTCTGGCTGATTTTCAGATCTTCACTGTTTTCTGTGCAGTCACATTGACTTCTGCAATCTTGCATTCTTTCCCCTTCATTTAACAGTCTGCAATTGTATTAATAATATCACTTTTTTTGAAACTCCCACTTTTGGCTGGAATTCCAATTAGTTTCTCCTGCCATGGAATCCTACTTATCATGGCTCTACATAAAATCCACATGAAGCTCAAGATACCAGCAGAGTGGGGTGTCTGGGTATGCGTATGTCGGGGAGAAAGACTGGATAATGTGTACTTTGGCCTGGGAGGGGGAAGCTGAGAAGGGCAGGCTGTGCTTGGGGACACTGGACCCGCTGCTCGAAAGCAGTCTCACTATCTGGCCCCCAGCTTTCACTCCTAGCACCTGGCAATTGGATCCTCGCTGGCCCTGGTATCTGGCTGTTGCTTCTGAATGCTAGGCTAGTATGTAACAAAGCTGGCCTCACTGATCATCTTATTAAGGATGAGGATGCCAACCTGGTGGGTCTAACTGAAACCTGGTTGGGCCCGGATGGGGACGTACCTTTCTCACCCAGGTTTTGGGTTTTGGATCAGCCCAGACACCCGAGGGGAGTGGGAGTGAGGTGGTTGTTGTCATCAGTGGGTCCTTGAAGACTCTCAGAGACACCACTCCATAAACAACCAAATGTGAGGTGCTCTGGTTGAAGTTGGGTTCTAGGAAACTACTGAGGTCACTGAATTCTGATCCACCATTACTGGAGGACAACATACCCAGTTATAAAAGCTGACAGCCAAAGTGCACTGAAAATAAAGCAAAGTATACTATTTGCTATAAAGACTTCCATGTAGTAGACCAGCCCCCATCCTGCACTCCTGGCAATGAGGAATAACTGGAGTGCCCCTAAGGAGCTGGTGGCAGTTGGCAGTAAAGAGCCCAAGTCTGGATTGTGCCATTTCAGAGTTGGCAGAGGCATTTCAATGATGGAATTGAAGAGATGTTCCTGAGAAATCTATCATTCAAGTAGATGTCCCTTTTTTCCATTGCCCATATGTTGCTTTCAAGGTCCAGAAAATTTCAGAGTCTTAATGCAGTGAACCCACCTCCTACCAGCAATACTGCAAGCAAGGCTCAGTTTTACCATCTGGCCTGGCATCTGAAAAACTGGCTGCAGGAGAGAAGAAGTCATCATATTTCCAAGACACAGAGAAAGTAAGAACTTTTTTTCTCCTTCATAGCTAGAAGCACCATGACAGCAGTGGCTGCGGAGGTCCCAAGAGGAAACTGTCTAGCAGCTGCCAGTGGGAACAAGGAGCCCATAAACCAGGCCTTTGCTGTGCCTCTGTCTGTGCTACACGAGTTACAAAAGCCCACAGCCAGTATGTTCCTAGTAGGTAGACGAGGCACCTCCTCCCTGGGGATGGCCCTGTACAGTGAATGGTGGCAAGCCCTGAAAGACAGTCTCCAAGTCCCCCCCACTGCTTCACACTCAGAAGCAAGCTGAAGACCATGATGGCAAGAGTCAGAAAGCCCCTGCCAGAGTGGGTGGGAGTGGACCAGTGCTACTTTACTCTGAGAAGCTTTTCAGAAAGCTATAAAACCCATTTGCTTTGAGTGGTGTTTGTTTTACTACAGATTCTTCAGGGAAAAGCCACCATAAAAAGGTTTCACCTCCCAAGAACATGAAGAACAGCCCTTGTTGACAGTGAAAAGCTGGACTGATCAAGCCTGCCCCAGATGCACTCAGTCCTGCCTGCACAGCCCAGTGCCATGCCACACAGTGTATCTACACGCTCTTGAAGCCCTCATCTGGACAGAGCAGCAAAGCTGCCAAAGCAGATTGACACAAGAGGGCACTGATCCAAAAGATCCAGGGGCCCAGGAAAGGATCTTGAGTTCTCGCCTGCATTCCAAGCAGTCCTGAAAACAACCAGACCCAGCTTCTAGCCAGGACAGTCAATGTTTCCACGGACTGCCAGTGCTCAACTCAAAATTTCATCACATACACTGAGTCCATTCACTAGTTCTCATGTGACCTCTTTACAGTTTTGGTCTTTAACTATTATAAAATCAAGATTCAATGATCAAAAGCACTGGCTGTCACATTTGTTTTTCTTCCCTCTCTCACCTGACTATATATTTCTATCATCATGCTCTTTCTGTTCAATTCCTCAGTAAATGACTTCTGAATCATCCATCCAGAGAGCCAGGAACCCTTAAAATAGACGTTACCATCCTATGCACCTGCCTGCTTCTCCCGTGCATCGCAACAGTTCCATCCATTCCTCTGCATTTCAGATCCAAAGGAGGAGACCCACCAGCTGTCTCTTCAGTTTCAGGAGGACGATGGAAGGACTCTTCTATTCAGTCAACAAGGTCAAAAGTGGCCAGTTGATTCTGTCCACATGCATCACCATTGGGGAAACTGCTGAACCTCTTTCCAGGCAGAGCTCCAATGGTACACAGTAAATAACAAAGGACTTCACGAATCTCACCAGTTCGGTTACATCATGAACTGAATTTTCTTGAGCCATGACAGTTTTGAAAAACCTTCAGGAAAAACATTGTCCATTCCAAGCCTGAATCCCATTTTGAAGGAGCATTTCCATCATCCATCAAGTCTCAAATCATCAAGTTGTTTCTTCTCAGGCATCAGATTTTCAAAGAACTGCTATACCAGGAGCAGGAAACCAGCACACAAATCCCTTCCCACACTCTGCCACCCTGGTGCTATGCAAAATCATATTGCTGAATCACAGTGATATAACATTGTTTTTTAATGTAAGCAATAAAATGGGAATGTTCAGCTTCTGTTCAATTGAAACCTATTTTACAAAAATAAAGCAACCCCTGCTTAAAAGGGAAAAAAGGCTGAAAATTCTTGCTGTACCTCATCTATCAACTTCACCCTCAGCAGCCGGAAAAAAATGTAAGAAACCAACCAACCAACCATCCCTTGGTGGCTGTAATAT